AAAAAAATCTCAAAAAATCAAACAAATCAATCTTAAAGATCAAGCAAATCCATTCGCCTTATTTGTTAGGCTTAAAATTCTCTTCCTCCTGCTTTCTGTCAAAAAAATATTTGCCTAACTGGTCAAAAATGTACCTTTGCTTCAAGTTCCACTTTGGTGCTTTTGACAATCTTTGCACCACGAACAATATACAGGACAATTTTCTGCTGCCCACGCGTGAATTGCTCAAAATCTGCCACAGACTGCACCGCTTCACCATTCACTCGCTTAATTTGGTCCTTTTCCTTGACACCAGCAAAGGCTGCTATGCCAGTCACTTTTCCAACTATTACCTGGAAAACATTCCGATGCAATACACTTATTAATCAAACAGGACATATGCACATGCTGTTACCTGGGTTTCGAAGATCAGCTAAATTCATTTGGATTCTTTCGAAGACAAAAAATATTAAGACGGAAAGCATAGGAATTACAAGGCATATATTAAATAGGCCTATGAGAAAGCAGACTGCGTTTCATACTTTCCTTGGTTGTGTAAACACAAAAATGAGTTTTTAGCGTTTGTTGTAAAAGAGTAATTTAAAAAAAAATTGTTTTGTTTAATGGCTCTTACTGATTTAACAAAAAATTTAAAAATGTAATATATTAAGCGTTAAATATCACATTTTCCCTGAAACAGAGTATATTTCCTATCTCTACTTTATTGCAAAGGACAATTCGATAGTGCCAAAAGGCATGACATTCAAAACAATTGGCCAACGCACGGGCTGCCCGTGCAAGGATGCGTTTTTTGCGTAGTTCTCCGCAGTTTTTGTCGCTGTTGCCACCAGTTTTTTTCAGCAGATGCTTCTAGCTAAAAAAATTAATACTGGCCGCCGGAGCTGTCAGGAAACACCCCCTTAAAATTTCAGTTTTCTAGCTTTCCTGGGCTCTGAGTTAGCAACTTACTGGGAAAAAACTTTCACGGGCCCGTACGTGAGTACCATTCTTACCCGATGTCTGCGTTTAAGCTTGTTGAGAGTTGCGTGGATGGGGAACATTCTCTTAAAATTACAGTCTTCTAGCTTTTTAGGTTCTAGAGTTAGTAAGTTGCTCGAAAAAAAACTTTGGCGGTTCGTACGTGGGTGCCATGCATATCCAAGGGCTGGTTTTGAGCTCGTTGAGACTTAGATGGACGGGAAATATCCTCTTAAAATTACATCCTTCTAGCTTTTCAAATTCTCGAGTTAGCAACTTACTCGAAAAAAAACTTTGGCGGGTCCGTGCATGGATAACACGCATACCCGAGGCATACGTTTGAGCTCACGGAGACTTACATGGACGGGGAACATTCTCTTAGAATTTCAGACTCCTAGCATTTCTGGTTCGCGAGTTAACGACTTACTCGTAAAAAACTTTCACGGTCCCGTACGCGAGTGCCACACGCGTAAGACCGCCCATTTTGGGGATGGGACCGGTACATACATGTAGATCAAGTTCCCAAAGTTCCAGCCCTGTAGCTTTTGTAGGTCTCGAGATGAAAAATCGGTACAGTGGCCCAGCGGCACACACAGACATGCACACACACACGCACACACACACACACACACAACCTCTCGTCAATATGCGTTTCCCGCATTGCATAGCTGCAAAAAATGCATAAAAATCAAAATTCCTTCATATCTCTTAGATGCAATGCATTCTGAGCTGAATGTATTCGAAACAGAAGTTATTCCATTGAGTTGCCAAAAATTTTTTTGCAAATTTTTAACAGATCTGTACAGCAAGGAATTTTTCTAACAACAAGAGCTCGTAGCACAGCTTTCTCAGCGGCTCTATCGAATGCTTTTTCATAATCAATGAATATTGGGACAAAGAGGTTTTTGTTTTTGCATGATAATAGTGGTCTTAAAAATTCTGTATTTTAAACTAACAGTGTCTTCTTCAACCACTGGAACAATCCCAAACGGTTCTCCATCATTTTCTCGCTTTAGTTCGATCACATAACGGTCTATTTTGTTCTCGCTCTCCGCTTCGCCCTTCTGACGATTTATTGTGAGCATAAATTTGCCCTGTGTTTGCGCCGCTTGTGCTAATAGCTGAGCATTTAGGATTATTTTGTGAGTAAAATTTGAAGTAATAAACTAAAAGATAATTACATTTGGAATTCAGCGTGCACTGTGTGTTTTTGAAGAAAATCTCGAAAGGTCTGGATAAGAACAGGCACCGAACGTGTCTATCCATCTGTTCTATTCGCTTGTATTTATGATTCTCAGTCCCTGAACCAAAATGTAAGAAATTTTACAGAGGAATTTTTCTTAGATGTCGGAAATATCTAGTGTCGGAATTTGCTCCAAAATAAATCCTCCCGTCAAATTAATCCCACTTTAGTGTTATCTTCATAAAAAGTTGAGTTATTTTTGCAAGATTATTGATTACGAAT